TTAAAATGCAGGAGTGGGGGGTTGTAGACATGTAACTGCTGAAATTTTCAGCAACAGGGAGGCAGCTCCCCGTGAGCACTGGCTCCCAGCTGTCCCCACTCCCTTCTGTAGTGCAGTGGGAGGGGACCCAGGTTCATCAGTTAATGATTTAAACATGTATACTATCACAGCCCTAATGGAAACCCACGCTGTAGATGCAACAATACTGTACAACTTTGACAAAACCAAAGAAGACATATAATTATCTCCAGCAGAAGTTTATGACAGTATTTTATGTTCCCATCCCCAAACCCTTTTTTTCAACCTAGTGACACACTTATATAACAGAGAAACAATCTGACAGAGATGATTTGGCCAATATTGACACCACTCCATCAAATAGTGAACAAACAAGATACAATGCACTTTTGAACCTGTAAGGCTCAGAAACCAGGCCATGCTCTTGCTTAAGGCAATGGAAGAAAGAATTCTTGTCAGGATATTTTCTCCCATGCCCCGTCTTCCCAAATCAAAACCATATGTTTCTATCATGTAAAGCAAATCCAAACAATAAAAATATTCTAACTATAGCACAGCTAATACTACTCCAGTTAACTCATCCCATGCTGTCTCCTTACCTCCCTCACTCCCCCCCTCCACTTTCAAAGTTTTATTCCTCTCCTCAGGTTTTTTTTTTAGCTTGAAGCTACAAAAATACTCATGCCTTCACTGTCTTCAAAAAGCCATCCTTGTCCCTACCTGCCTCTTCAGCTACTTGATTTTCCCCTTTATCTCATTCAACCTCCAAGCTTTAAGAGGAATCACTCAAAAATCATAAAGTCACTTATTCTCCCCTATATCCTTTTTAAAACACCTCTCTGCAATCAATCTTTTCCACCCGGCATTAAACAGACAAGTTACAACTTCTCTGTTTCTTCTCAACTCTGTAAATTGTGTTCTCATCCTTCCATCCCACACTATTTTATGAACTTGTCACATGCTGCTTAACACTTACAGTGAAAGATCTCTGAGGCAGAGACTGGTATCTTTGTTATTTGTCTGTGTAGTACATGCACAATGGGGCATGTACTTGATTCGTGGTTGCATTTCCTAGCTGCTACCATAACACAAAAAACACTAAAAAGATTCAAAAGAACTCATCTGAAATTGACTATGGCATTCCAAAGAGTTCCCAGATTGGGAAGCTAAATGGCCTTTATTTCAGAAAGATAACTAAAGCGATTACTAGATTTACCAAAGCAAAGAGGAAAAGGCCAACTTCCACCATCACCCAATATTTTTGCCTTCTGTGGGACAAAAAGAACCAAACACACATAGAACTTCACAATAAATAATGGTATTTATAATGACTAGGGGGTAGTGCCCCCTGCTCACTACACTCACCAACCCCTGTCTGTGGGGGCTTTTAAGTCGGCTCCCCCCAGCATCCTCTCCTCTCCCACCTCCCTGCTGCCTCACTGTGAGAGGGGAGGAAGTGACTAGTGTTTCAACTATCCTATAAGCTTTTGCTGAACGGACAGTTGACTAGTCAATTAGTTGCTTACATCCCTAGGAGGCAGCCCCAGCCTCTCGGCGCCCCGCTCCCTGGCTGCTAGGGCCGTGCCAGTCACTTGAGGTAAGCTCTCCCCTAGGTTGCCAGGGATAGCAGGGACCACACCAGACCCAGCCTCTCAACACCCCCAGACACTGGGGAGGTAAGGGCCAGAGGCCACGCCAGACCTGGCCACTGGAGAAGGGAGACAGTAGGCAAGGCCGGCTCTCCCCTCAGCCGCCGGGGAGAGCTGGGGCCACGCCAGACCCAGCCTCTTGGCCCCCACCCAGCCACCAGGGAGAGGAGGGGAGGGCTGGGGGCCATGCCAGTCCCAGCCTCTCGGATGACCGCTGCCCATGTCCCCCATCTCTCTCCCCAGCTCCCAGGTCCCCCACCCTGGCTGCATCTCTGGCCCCTTGGTTCCCCCACCCCTTCCCAGCCACAGCCCATGCCTCCCAGCCCTCCCATGTCCCCCATCGGCCGCAATCAACCCCGGCCTCTCTGCCCCCCACCTCCCTCTCCAGCCGTAGCCAGACTCAGCCTTGTGAAGGAGTGGGGGGGGGGCGTGGCAGCTCCTCGCTCATCCTGGCACGGAGTCTCGAGGCTTTCTCCTCTCCCCTTCCCCCATTGCCCCACAGGAAGCCAGTGCTGGTCGGCTGGAGTGCTGGGCAGGCAGCAGCCTGAGCATTCCTGGCCCTGGCCCAAGGGAGCCAGAGATGACAGTTCTCCACTGGGCCTTGGTGTATCAGGGTCCTGAGCACAGCAAGGAGCCACTGCCACTGCCCCTTAGCCCTCCTGCAGTGGGTGGAATGTGCCCAGGCTAGGCTGCCAGGCGGCTTTGCCACACCAGTGTCTGGGGCAGGAAGGCCATGTAAAGGCAGAGCCTGTGGGACACCAGAGTGACGTCATGACATCACTCTGTTTTCCCACAGGAACATTTTTTAGATCGATTAGATAGATAGATTAGATATCTCCTCTTTTGCCTGTACCTCACCAAAATCAATTTCCAGCAATACTATGTGACATGACCTGAAGGGGAAACATTAGAAATAGTCCCTAAATTATTACTATCTTGATTCAAAAGAAGGAACTGTTGGTTCAAAGCTTCACTCACTCCAACCCCAGTAGAGCCAGGAAATTCTTATCTAAACTGATGAGCCCCCTGTTTCCAAATCCCTCAACACACTCAAGTTTTACCCATTGTGTACTAATTACACTTTATTATGAGGAGGTTTAACAAATAGTTACAAACATTAAGAAGAGGAACACAAGAAAATGTCTATTCTCATTCTTATCTTATCCCAATATCATTAAAAAAAATCCTTTGATAATATGAATGAATATAATATAGTCAGTCTTCATCCTTCCTTTACCTCCTCAGAGTTCCCAAAAAGCATCTGAATGGAAGCAAAACTTCATTACTCATAATATATAAATTCATACAAACTTCTTAAATTTTGCCTCCTTTTCCTCCTAATTTATCAATCCATTCAGACTTAATTTTCCTAATCACATAGAGGTAGGTTCCTATTGAAAGTGTAATAAAATTTCTAATGATAAATATTTGTAGGAATATACAGTGGGACTGTTAAATCACGTATTGGAAAGTGTAGAGAACAGCTAAGAGAAAAGTCTTAGGACTTAACTGTATTATGCCCACATTCCACATACTGCACCAGCTCAAGGGCATCTATACCTCTCTGGAAGTGTCCATAACAGCACAGCAGAGTGCTAGGATCTTCTTGAAGAGCTCACAATACATTCTGTGCTGTTTTCAATAAGTATTATGGAATACTCCAGGGACTATGTGGAATAAGGGGGTCAATTTCCCATCTATCCTGAGGGGAAGGTCCATAATTCCTCAGGCAATTTATCCAACAACTCATCACAGGCTCCATTTCCAGGGTGGTTGGGTTTTTGTTTACAAAACATGCTGATTTTTTCTGATTCATCAAGGGCAATTTACAATGAATTTAGAAAAAATGAGAAGTGGCCAATGGTTTTCCAGAACCTTATTTAGAGTTCTAGATACATGTGGAGAAGTAAATGGATTTCTGATTGGAATCATCCACCAATAGGCTTCAGGATGCATGACAATGAACTGAATTTCACACAGAGGACCAGCACTTTTGAAAGAGTTCCATAAGCACTGGGTAGGACAGCTGTTTTCTGGGATGATCAGGAGTAGCTACAGAGCTTCCAGAAGCTTGCAAATGTACACTTAGGACATGGAAAACTTTCCTATTAAACCAAGAACTAAGCCTACTCACCAGGCCAAAGTGTTCATGCTTTCCATTAGGGCTATTAGATATCGGGTAATTGAATAGTTGAGTAACCACATGAATTCTTATCGGTTACTCGACTATTCTATAGTTCCTGGGGGTGGGGCCAGCAGCCAGTGTGCTCAGCCCCATTCCCAGGGAGCCATCTGCCATTCTGCGCTGCTGCCTCTATATCACAGACAGTAGTGTGGGGTGTCAAGTGGGAGTTGGTCCGCGAGAGGAGGCAGGGGACTTGGTCCATAACTGGAGCTCGGACCCCCTGCAGACAGAGGCTGCTCCATGGGAAGCAGAGCAGCCTCTATCCACAGGGAGTTCAGACCTGCTTCGCGGCAGCCCCCCGGCCTCCAACATACACTGCTGCCTCTAATAAGAGGCAGCAGCGCAGGGTGGGAGGAGCCAGTGCTGGGGGGAAATGGCTTTTAAGTCTGCTCCCCCCAGCACCAGCTCCTACTCTACTTCCCCTTCTTGATACAGAGGCAGCAAGGGAGATGAGGATGCTTGTAGTCAATAAGATTAACCAATAAGTCTATAATCAACTACATGTTGACATCCCTACTTTCCATCTTCCTTCGAATCATTGTTTTCCTTCTCAATGGTTCTGTGCTACCACATCACATACCCCACACTGCAGGGTCTCCAAACCCTCACACTCCTACTGACTACATTCTGTGTCCCAAATAAATGCCAGCCCCAACAAAAACAATCAATTCATTAATACTGTCCACTATGACAAACAAGAAAAATCAGTTAAGACTTTCTCCCACAGAACACATACTAAGTTAATTATGATTTTCTGCAAGCTAATGCTGGGTCGCCTCCTGCCCCCAGACAATACGAGTGATGACCCACCATAATAAACTCATTATGGGCAGCCCCATTTCCCTTCACAGTACGTCAGTTTATGTCAGCCTGATCCGCACAAGCTTCTACTGGAATGGTAGAAGAACCTTCCAAATTGAGAGCCCTAAATGGGAGAGGCAGGAAGCAGACCAGGAACAGGAGCAATGAGTCTCTGACCAGTCTTAATACTAATTTACTACTCTAGCAGAGGATTCCTGTATGAGGGCATCTACCAATACCATCTCAAGCACCAGCCTAGTGAAGGCACACAAAATGCTGTTCCCAGATGATTAGGGTAGGGGCCTCCTAAAACACAATCTACTCCTAAAAGCAGTAGCTACCCTTACCCCAACAGCAGTGATAGAAGAACAGCTTGTCTCTTTTTTCATGAGAACTCTCTGGTCACTCCTCCTTCATCTTCCTATATAACTTAATTACAGAATGGAAATATTTACAACTAATATGTACACACATTTTATGTATTTTTTTAACTTTCTACCTTTCCTTAAGGTTCACTTATAGCTGATACCAGTCATAGATGGATTGTTCAACAGTAAGGGATAGATAAATAATATTCATGTATGTTTTTACACTTGGGCTACAGCTAGTATTACTTGTCATGCCAGAAAAGTTTCACTGAATTATGTATATTAAAAAATTTAAAGACAGAACCATTAAGTTATGATAATTTATGTAAACACATGATCTTATTTCTCTTATCTTTGTCCTCCCTTCCCTACTGTCTGTCTCTTATTTCTTATTTAGACAGTGAACTCTTTGGAACAGGCACGATATCTACCTATGTGTTTATACAGTGTCAAGCACAATGAGGCCCAAATCTTAGTTAGGGTCTTTGTTTGCTACTGCAATAGAAATAAGAATGTATCTTATTCCCACCCACTTCCTACTAATCAGTTTCCTACTAATCATATCTGCCCACTAGAAACAATATGTGAAGACAAAAGGCCAGATCTTATATACTGTCTCCATTTCCCCCCTATTCTTTCCATCACTTTCGTAATAGCTATTAATGATAGACACTTTCTAGACATATTTCTTGTTTTAGGTTTGCATTTGTCTATTCCATAGCCACCCCCCACACACAGTTTCATAACTCTTACACCACCACTGTTTATGTGCATAAAATGTCACTACTGGAAAAGATCATAAAGATATTTATATGCATCAAGTCAAATATTTTAAAACTTCTGAGTCACCCTACTCCCTCATACAACAAGTTTAACATTGAAAATATCCATCCCCATACAGTGGCCTGTATTATTTTAGACCTCTATTCTATAAGTAGGGCCTACCAAATTCAAGGTCCAAAATGGTCAATTTCATGGCTACAGGATTTGAAAATTAGGCTACGTCTAGACGACATGCCTCTGGCGACAGAGGCATGTAGATGAGGCTACCAGGGATAGGAAAATGAAACGGCGATTTAAATAATCGCTGCTTCATTACATTTATATGGCTGCCGCGCTGAGCCGATCAGCTGTTTGTCGGCTCAGCGCGGTAGTCTGGATGCGTGGGTGTCGACATCAAAGACATTTGTCGACCACCCAGGTATGCCTCCTGGGATGAGGTTTACCTGGGTGGTCGACAAATGCCTTTGATGTCGACACCCGCGCGTCCAGACTACTGCGCTGAGCCAACAAACAGCTGATCGGCTCAGCGCAGCAGCCATGTAAATTTAAATGAAGCATTTTCCTATGCCTGGTAGCCTCATCTACATGCCTCTGTTGCCAGAGGCATGTAGTCTAGACGTAGCCTTAGTAAATTTCACATTTTCAGATATTTAAATCTGAAATTTTACAGTATTGTAACTATGGTGGGCCTGACCCAAAAGGTGATGGAGGAGTCACAAACCTGTTCGGTGAGGTGGGGGTCCACAGAACTACAGTACTGTGCTGCCTTTAGAGCTCAACTCTGAAGACAGTAACCATTAAGCTTCCTGCAACCTCAGAAGGTTCCAGGAGGTGAAGGGTGGGTGTGAGCTCCCCCTCCCTTCCCTGTCCTGTCCCTCCCCAGCCTAGACAGAGCTAGGAGTCTCCTGGCTGGGGCACTCCTAACAGCAGGGGGAGACAGGATTTCATAGAGAAGGACTTGTGTCTCTTCAAAAGACTGTGAAATTGATAGGGCCCTATCTGTAAGGCATCACTCTGACTGTAGACAAAGGAGGAAAGGGTCAAGGGACGTTTAAGAAGAGCACAAATGGAGATGCAGTTAAGTAATTCAGTGGACTAGTCATGGGGGTACAGCCTCTTTTAAAGGAACAAGATGCACCAAAGGAAATCCAGTAAGGGGAATGCATAGGACTACAAAGAGAGAGCAGTTCAACTTGGGGGACACAAGATAGGGTAATGTGCCCAGCCCATACAGAAAGCTCATAAAAGATATCCTGCCTCCAATGTATAGAGGGGTTAGAGAATATAAAAGCCTACAAAAGCCAGGAGAGGAAAAATGTGCAGCAAGAACTCCTCTCCAGAAATTTATACGCTAGAACAGTGTTTCCCAAATAGTGTTCCACGGAACCCTGGGGTTCCGCAAAGTGAAAATAAGGGTTCCACGAGAAAATTCTATTACAATAACATTTAATGATTTACCAATATTTTTGTACACATTAAATGTGATTTTTGTTTTCAAATATGGGCAATTAAACTAAATGTTGATCTCATGACCTTGTTTAACATTTGCTCATTGTTATCCTTACTTATTTGTGGTCTACTTTTTCAGCTCCATATAAAAAACTGTTCTTAGAGGTTCCACAAAATTCTTTCGAGTTTAAAAGGGTACCATAGTCAAATAAAATTGGGGAACACTGCACTAGAAGCACAACATCAGCAGAGCTGCACCGCTGCAGTGTGTCTGGTGAAGATGCTCTCCGCAGATGGGAGCACTCTTTTCCATCGGCATAATTACTCTGCCTCCAGGAGAGGCAGAAGCTGTATCTTGGGAGAGTATCTCCTCCTGACACAGCAGTGGTGTGGACAGTGCTTGTGTAACTTGTGTGGGTGCGGGAGCAGGCTCTCACATCCCAGAGTGATGCAAGCTAGAATGACTTAAGTGGTAGCACAGGCCTATCACAAGTGAAGGACATATCCAAACCCGACTGCCTATGTATGGAGGTGCTGCCTCTATCTTATGCACAGGGATAGTCCAACCCAACTTCAACCGACAAGGCGCAGGGCTAACTGTCCAGGTTGGCTGTGTGGAAGGGAGCTGACTAGCTCGGATGGGAGAGGAGCTCAGTCTGTCTCCAAGGTGCGAGCAGAGGGGCAGAAAGAGGTGGCGGGGGAGGGTGCCTGGCTCAGGGAGGCGGGAG